GGGGGTGATGAATTCAAGCCTGTATACGCTGATGTAACTAACTGTCTACATCCATCAACAGTTATGTGAGTGGTTCTTCACACCTGCCCTTACGCCATCTGTGCCCCAAGGGTGAGGAGAAGAGGAAGAGTGGTGGAAAGGGTTCAAGCTGTTATACACAAATGTAACTGGCTGCATCCATCAAAATCTCTGTGAGTACTTCTTCAACCTAACCCGTCAGTCCACTATGACCCTAGGGTGAAGGGAAGATGAAGGATGGTTGGGGGGGGGGGGGGATTCAAGCGTTATACACAATAATGTAACTGCCTACATCCATCAACAGTTCTGTGGTTACTTCATCAAACCTGACCCTCACTTCCACACTGACCCGGGGTTCTGGGGACAGACTCGTGCGTGTCCAAAATCCCACCCCGAGTGACTGTTGGACATTTATTTATACTCTCATATGATATTTCCTTTTTTTAACGGGGTAATTTCCCTGAATGTGTTTCACCTGTTCCGTGTGGCACTCCTTTCACAGTTACTGCTTGTCCATTTGTCTCGCCTCGGAGACAGAACGACTGGGACATGGGGACATGATATTTTTCCATTACAAATAAACGGGGCTATTGCTGAATGTGTTAGGATGGATTACTTGGAAAGCCCAAACAGATGGGTGACGGGGAATGACTAGGGTAATAATATGTGTCACAACACGGTGAAATCAGGCGCTCAACAGTTGTAAGATTGGCTTGCATTTGATGAAAAAATACTCACCTATCTAGAATAGAAGTTGAGATATTTGCTATTGAAGGAGATGAGGGTCGCCGGGGTATCAGAGGTAAACGTTAGCGAGAAAATGGCCTCCAATATCTGGTGACTTCTGAAGCTTGAGTGTCCTTGGAAACTACAATTTTTACAATGTTTTTTTTTTCTTTGATTGACGTTGAGCCAAATAAAAAATTGAATAAAATTGCCCAACGCGTCGGAAAATGTCGGTATATTGACTTCATTACTTTGACGGGGCCTGAGTTCACTAGGATGTCACACATTAAAAAGTTTGTTTGAGAGCACCAGAGCAGAGGAATGAATGGTCGACCATGAGGGCCGATGTCTGTCGCAGATCTGGCACTCGTTGATGAAGATGTTATGACGAATGAGATGAGATTGACTTTGGAAAACCCTTGAATATCTCATACAAGAACACATAAATATCTCATACTACAACACATGAATTTGTTAGACGCACATCGCGACGAACGATCCAGGGTGATGTGAACTTGTGAACCGTTCTCCCCGCCATAAAGCCAGCCCATTCAATATATTTTACATGATTGTGAAGCCCCCAACCCATCCAATAGATTGGTCTGTCGGTGTTTTAAGACTCTGTCTCCCCGCCCCCATCTGCCCCCTCGCCATAAAGCTCGATCTGTCATGTACTTTGCCCCGTCATCAAGCTATGTGCCCATCAGGGAAATTACAAAGGCTGTGTTTTATACTTGGATCGTGGGTGATTAACGGGTGCCTTGGTGCGTTTGCTCCTTCTTTCCTATCAAACAGTTATGGTCCTCATCTCACCTTCTTTTTTGTAAGTTACTCTTTAGTTGCACCTCTAATCTTCTGTACTTAAATGAACTTATTGTGTTCCAAGTGCCGTAAGCCGGTCTTGGGAACGTTTCTCAATGCTAGCTGTTATATTGTAGACCATATACACCATACCACATCATACCACACCATACCACATCATACCATACCATACCATACCATTCCGTACTATATCATGTTACGGGGGCTATGGTATGATGTTTGTAAATCAGTTGGGTACAGAAATAGATGACATCAAAGAGAGGTAACAAAGGGATACAAAGATAACTAACATAGACGTTGTTTTGTGAATATTTAGGAAGGTGAGGAAGACCACACAAAAATGGATCGGCGGAATTGAAAGGATCCTCCAAAAGCACAATCTTATTTTGATGGTTCACAGCGACACACCTGGCCCACGCCCGTCAATCACATCTCCCGTCGACGCCTCGCGGTACAACTGCACTGAACACATGATTCAGAGATGCGCACGGGGGGG